AAGTTAGTTGAAAAGTACTAAAAAGCAAATTTTTCTTTATCTCAGAAATATGAGAGAAGAAAAGCTCATGTCAAGGATGAGACTGAGTCCCGTGCCTTCGCAAAGTTAAGTAAAGAGCACATGTCTAGTGACGATGATGACACAGATACTGATGAAGGCGAAGGAGGATGGGTGTCTAGGCCCCCAAAATACAGGAGCAAAACTCTTGAAGCTTTCCTAAACAAGTAAGAAGCATACTAAAGGTTTAGTCCTTTACTGGTATTTCTAATAGCAAGAAAGATGGAAATGTTTCTATCCTGAAAAAATTGTCCAGTATTGCCAGACTGTTCCTTGTTATTGGCAATGATGGACTGTAAATGTCAGGTAGGCTTTAAAGTCAGTTTATTTGTTAGTCACCCATTAGCGCTTTTTTGCCCGTTTTTGCTTAAGGGTTGGATTTACTTCACGGTTTCAGTCAAGTCAACGGCATCTTCTAATTTTAATATTGTTATTGTCTTAGGCTTGACAAGCACAGCAAAAAGACAGAAAACGCAACAAAAAAAAGGTGGAAACGAACAAAGGCTCGTAAAGGGGAGCCTGTAGAAAGAAAGCCACCCACAGGTTCTCCTAAATGGGCGCTGTCCGATGAATGAAGGGAAATCATGCAAAGGAGAGAGCAGGAACAAACCAAAATGTAAGAATACTGCTTAGCCTTTACACTCCTTATTGGATGCTGTTGCTTTTACTTTTAGTTTACCAACTATGAAAGTGAAGCACAGAAGAATGTATAAACTATGTAAACCGATGTATATATTGCATGCTATGAAAAATTTCGTAATATGCTTGTTTCCTTTATACAAGGTTGTTACATTGTTTAACTAACATTTTTTTGGTTCAACAGAGAACTTGAGGATGAAGAGACCACTGACGAAAGCAGAGCGGAAGAAAGAGAAGGAGAAGAAAGTGATAATGACAGCTCCTCAGGAAGCGATTGTGATTTTGAGAACGAATAGTTTGTTTTTCTGTGTGGGTGTGTGTGTTAAAGGAATGGTGTGATTGCACATAAATCACAACTTTTAATCATTGGATTATACCTTTTCGTAAATTAGATTTTCAGCTTTCATTCTTCGCATTATTATTAACAATACTACTTTTGAGAAACACAAATGTTAGGTTTTTTAGTTTTTTTTAATGTATATGTACTACGAAAAAAACAACACGTGACTGAGGAATACTGAAATAAATTAACAGCTATTTGTAATTGAAGCATGAGATGATTCACGATTTTATGATTCCACCTAGATCACACCTAAGCAATGCAAAAATCTTTAACGCTGAACGTACCCCGTAAGAATACTCGACAATGGTGAATTTTCCCATTAAGATTGCTAAAAAAAGCTCGTTAAAGCCTCACAATACGCACCTTCTACTATCAGTACCCTTCCTGCTTCATGCAGTATACATCATATATACAGACTTGTGTAATAATGAATAAGAAATCCTGCAACGACTGTATACGTGCCTTCCACACAAAATCAGTATACCTTATAATTCCTTCAGTATACAACATACTGAAACGAGTACTGGCGTATAAGAAATCCTGCTACAAGTGTATAAGATCCTGCTATTTTCTTGGCATAGCCTGACGTATACTGATCCTTAAACAGTACCTTAAACATCATGACACCTCCTTAGAGATGCCGTACACGACTTTGTGTACTGACTGTATAAGATCTACATAAGGGACAGTATTCGGATTATTTCACGCAGTGAAAGTTCATATGACACGTGTCCTGCATATTGCTAGGATCAGCAATGTTAATCGCGTAATGTTTGTAGATCGAAATAAGAGAGGGAGAGAGGACACCTAATTATTTTGCTAGAAACTCCTCTATTCTGGAAGGTGGTTTTGACTCTGACATTAAAGGATTTGAAAAATAAAAAGGACAAAGCTACTTTAGGAGCCAGATAATGACAAAATTGGTCTGAGAAACATCATTGAGGATAAAAAAGAGGAGGTGGATGATGGCGATGTAAGAGCACCAGAGAGGCCAAACAACTATTGTCTTAGTGGTTTGTAGTGGACAGAAGCACCTCGCGATGCAGAAGCACTTCCTGAGTTCAAATGTCACCACAGGATTACTTTCTCCTTGTTAACAACTGCATGCTGACTTAAACTGTTTGAGAAACAAACAGGTCTGCAGTTCAGAGTCCAAGTGGAAAAGAAATTCCCCTTGTCGAGGGAATTGACTTTAGGGAGATTTCCTTTCTAGGTTGATAATTGCCATGAGCATCCATTATTTGTCATCACATACAGAGTATTGGAAAGATTATTACATTTAGGGCATCCCTGAATTTGCAAAGGTGACGCCAAGAAAAAGACTCCTGCATATAAATACATATATACATCTGAATGATAACTCTTAGACGCTAGCTTGTCATTCTGCTGAGACATACACACTCTACCAACTAAGGCCATTTCTAACAAGCTTAACAGCCAATTTGTCTCAGCGTTATAACCCCAATAGCAAGCAGGCAGTGGAAGAAGTAAGGATCAAGTATATGGGGTACGCTTCTCTCACACAGTATATGCCAATGGAGCTTGCTTTCGTAACACATTTGACTATGCTAATCTTTACTTTCATTTACAGCCAAAATTAACTAAATATAGCTAAATCAGAATAGAGATATTGTAGATAAGATTATCACTTTATTGCAGTACTTTTGATGTTCTTCTTAAAATTTAGTTATTTAGATTTTGGTTTTTTTCATTTTCCCTTTTAAATACAGTCTTAATGTCTTATTTAAGCTAACCCCTACTAAGTTAAGAATATGCCTCCCCCTGGAACTGAGAAATCTTTTCACAGAAACTTGGCAACAAATGGCAAAAGACGGGTTGCTTGTCACACAATGGTTGTGTCACCAAGTGGAGGCCCCTAAGCCTCACGACTGGATGGATAAGACTTCTCTGGAATATCAGGCATGGTTATTGCCGAGCTAAATGCAAGTACCAAGAGATGAAAGGTGATCAGAGGCCTTTGAAGAAAAAAATGATCAAAATAAGCAAAATGAACTAGGGCCCTGGTCAGTTCTGAACAGTTTTATTCTAAGTGTTTCATACAGTAATGTTGCTTTACAGACAATGTTTCTTTGTTTAATCGACCTGATATTGCAGATGAGCAGTTCTTTAAGGTCAACAGCACCTTAGAGCATATGCTTTGTTTCACCCCTTTATGGTCACACAAACACTTCAGAAATGGGCACATGCAGTCCCTTAGTGCACTATACAGCTTTTCCAGAAGTTGTCGGAAACGTATTGTTATCAAGTCGCGTGACTATAGGGCGTGGCGAACTTGACACCATTGTATTGTACATGTGATTGAACCAGTAAGAGTCAACAATGACCGGAAATTCCTGTGTAACCAAAAACTAAGACTAGAGCTGATATAAGAATGTACAATCGCGTAAATTGATCAGTTAGAGAGTTGTACTCAATGTGATCGGGTAGTGAGAAAATAAATAACTTTAAAACATATTGTGACTTTTGGAGAGAACTGGAGGAAAGGGGGACATTCTCCAAACGTGGCACCTCCGACGGGACCGCTATCAACTTTGGCTGTGAGTATAATTTAGTCCTGAATTTTCTTTAAAGCTACACAACCGACGGCAATGGAAAACGCGAAGGGAAAACTGCAAACGAAGCTTACACAACTGGGAATCCATGCCAAGCGAACACAGCAAGTGCTCGATTCAGGATCTGTAGAGGCTATCGAGAGACACACGGGAGCGTTGCGGTCTACAATATCCGAGGCGGATGAACTGAAGCGCGCTTTGGAAGCGTTAAAAATCGAAGCAGAAGAAGATCTTGGTGACATAGCCACGTGGAATGCCGAGATTGACCATCAACTAATGAAAGCTGACGAAGAGGTCGGGAAGCTTCGCAAATGGCTCGAAGAAAGAAGACGCCAGGAAGAGACGAACGTGCGCGAGGAACAACTCAAGTTCGAGTTGAAGCTGCAAGAACAAAAGATGAAACTCCAAAACGACCTTGCTACGCAAGAGAGCCACGAAGGGGGCGGGTCACCCAAACAAACAACGCAAGCGAAGTTACCGAAGATTGAGATAAAAATGTTCGAAGGTTCTTACTTGGATTGGCCGAGGTTCTGGGGCCAGTTTACAGAAACGATAGATAAAGCAGAAGTGGCACCCATCAACAAATTTACCTATTTGTGTGGGCTACTGGGACCGAAAGTAAAAACCTCTGTGGAAGCCTTGCCGTTTACATCTGAGGGCTACAATAGAGCCAAGTCGATACTATTAAACAACTATGGAAAGGAATCCGAAATAACGAAGGCATACATAAAAGAAATAATGGCCCTCCCCGTCATCACAAGCGCCAACCCTAGGAGGATAAGTGAGTTTAGTGAGACATTGACGTACTGTGTACAAGCGTTAGAAACGATGAATAAACTGAGTGAGGTTAACGGAAACGTGCCCATGACACTGGATAAACTTCCAGCGATTCGGGGAGACCTAGTACGAATGGATCCAGAGTGGGAGAAGTGGAATTTCACCCAGTTGTCAGAGGCAGTGAGACTGTAGACGAAAAGAAACCCAGTTGAAGAACGAGAGACGTCAGAGCAATTTAATTCGAAACGTGACCGCTCGAATAAGCTCTTCCAAGCACAAGGTGGCGAGGGTAAACCAAACAAGTGCGTTTATTGCAGTGATGCGACGCATAGATCGTCTGAATGCCAGAAAATCTCAACCGTGGACCAACGGAAACAATTTCTCGCAAAAAAGAAGCTGTGTTTTAATTGCGCAACACCAAATCACCGCGCCGCAGAGTGTTTCAGCAAGAAAACATGTTTACATTGCCACAAACGTCATCACTCCTCGATATGTGATCGTGAACAAACAGACAGCGGGAAGCAGACGTTGATGACAGCCAGTGAGAACAATGAAGGAATCATGCCAGTATTAACAGTAAAGGTCGATGGTATTCGCCTTTGTCACGGTATCGCCATCTTGAAAATGACGTAATGCTTTTTGGCATGAAAACGAGGTCACGCGTGGTTCTTGACACACTGAACACTCGAGCGATCATGCGGAACAAAGATCACTGTTGTGTTCCTAAGTGCAATAACAATAGATCAAAAGTGCAGTCTAATATAACCTTTCATCAATTCCCGAAAGACAAAGACTTAAGAAGACAGTGGATTATAAAAATTAAGCGTGATGTCGGCCGGTCCTTCAAGGTAAATGGCCTTTTATATATCATAGTTCAGTTTAGCGTCGTTTCAGCGTTGTTTATATAGCAAACCTTATATTTTTTCCGATATCTTTCAGATAACCAACAGTACAAGAGTTTGCTCTGATCATTTTAAACCCACAGATATAAAAAAAACGCTAACAGGAAAAAGTGTACTCGTTAATGGTGCTGTACCATCCGTTTTTGAATGGACAACTTTATCAAAGAAACGAAAGTCACCAACGAAACGCGAATGCACAACACGTACTAACACAACCGAGATTGATGTCGTGGATAATATACAGCCAATCTCCTCTACAGGTATTTATTTTTTATGAAATCGTACTTTAGGCCCGCCCTAAATATTTCTAAACATGTTATTTTCTACATTCCCACAGTCGAAATTGGGCCCATCGAAGATTCAAGCGTAGACGAAAATGTCATCGATACTAGCAGCCACATGGAGGACTCCACCGTAACTACTGACACCACAATCATAACACCTACTGTCAACCTACATGATTATTTATTTACTGAACCCGAAAAGCCTGTAGAAGAGCTACTTGAGGCAGCGCAAGCTCGTATCGAACAATTAGAACAGCTGCTTTCAAAACAATCTTTTTACAGACAACTGAAAGGGATGTCAGACAAACGCGTTAGATTCCATACTGGCTTTTCGTCATTTGCTATTTTTGTGAGTACCTTCAATGCCCTTAGACCCACAGCTGAAAGTATGTTTTCATGGTCCCAAGTACAGAGAGCACGAGCAAAAAGTGGGAAAGATATAAGTAACATGAGAGACACTCTCAAGACATGCAAACTTAGCTTATTTGATCAGTTTTATTTATGCATTACTAAGCTGAGGCTGGGTACTTTTAATGAGAAACTAGCCAGTGAATTTGATATTTCTATTTCAACTGTGAGTAGAGTTTTTATTTCTTGGGTTAACTTTCTCTATTTTGTTTTGGGAACCATTCCTATATGGCCCTCTCGGGCAAAAATTGACAAACATATGCCTAAGTGTTTTAAATTGTTATATCCTAAATGCCGTGGTATTATTGATGCCTCAGAGATCAAGGTACAAGCACCATCTAGTATGGTTTTGAATAGCAATTGCTATTCATCATATAAGAGCCACACAACTTACAAAGGCAATGTTGTAATATCTCCATCTGGGGAAATTATTCGTGTAAGTTCTCTTTTTGAAGGAAGTATTTCTGACAAGGAGCTTGTTAAGCAATCAGGTTTGTTGAATTTACTTGAGCCAGGTGATCAAATAATGGCTGATAAAGGATTTACTATAGAGGATCTATTAAAGCCAATAGGTTGTGGAGTAGCAATGCCTGCCTTTTTGTCAAGTAAGGGTCAATTTTCAAAGAAAGAACTTTCAACCAGTAAACAGATACATAATTTAAGAGTCCATGTGGAAAGGGCCATAAGAAGGGTGAAAGAGTTTCACTATTTTGATAAAGTTATACCTCTTACAGTAGCTGGCAGCATTAATCAAATATGGACAGTGGCATGTCTTATTACCAATTTCCAGGGGCCTTTGTTGCATGAAAAGCAATATATCTAAATATGTATACAATTGTTGTAAAATAGATGGAAGAGTAAGCATCATTTAAAGTAAAGTATGTAAGGATCTGTAATACAAATAGTACTAACAACTTTTAACAACTAAGAGTTAGTTGACATTGAGTGAGGGTACACTACGTATTAGGTCCAACCTAGGTAAGAACTATGCCATCTGTTAACATGTGATGTGGAAGGGTGAATAGTAGGGTGGCCCTATCCCCTAGGGGCACCCTTTTCGTATGTACATGGCATATTGGTTAGGCATTAAAATAAACAGTAAAATCAGTAAAAATTATATTGTTAGTACTATTTTTGTTTTACAGATTCAATGCAAGCTTTCAAACTAGCTTTTTGGAAAAAAAAATTATGAATTTAATAACTTTACATTTATTCACAAATTTCATTATTGCCAAATATTATAAAAATGCCCTTTTGGGGTTTAAATACAAAACCTGTTGAAGTCATTCATGTATTTTTATTTATCATGTTTGTACAGAATGTTCTGTTTAATAACAGTAAAAAACTATTAAATGGCTTGAAATACACCCAACTTAGTCACAGTATTTGAATGCATGATAAACAATGAAATATGTACAGCTGTTTGTAAAAATTATGGCGCTTACAATATATTACAGACATATAGGCTTAAATGAAACTGAATTATCATAAGTATTGTATTTTTGGAAAAAATACAAAAACTATTAAATTACCAATCATGAACCCAATGTTTTTAAAGTTGTGGCAATAATTTCTGCAAACAGCTGTGTAATGATAATTACTAGAACAAGTTCTGAGTCTAATTAGGTTTGACTTGTTACATTTTAACATTTTAAGAATGCTGATTCAAATGTCTTTACTCCACTTCCCACCAAACTTTGTCACACACAATTAGCTTGTTACTTAGGCACGAAGTTATTTTGTATAAGAGACATACAATAAATTATTGAACACATGTATTCAGGTGATAATCAAAAAAAAATAAATTCAGTTTGTCCAGCATTTCAGAAAAGAGAAGTTCATCAAAATATACTCGTTCACAGTGAAATTCGTCCTTGCAGTAAACAAAGAAATCGCACCACTGACTTCCTGTTAAACCAAGGCATCCCATAACTTGATAATAATACTTGTGTGTCTTCTTCAATGAATATGACCCATTTCGTTCATTAAACTTTAAATACTGAAGGTTATCCAGATGACTTGCTGGAGAGCACTTTATTTCTATCAGGCCCCATGGATGTTGTTCAGTGTCGTCAAACACTCTTCTGTCTGGGCTACAGCCTAGGTGTGGGAGACATGGGTTTATAAGAAAACCTACTAGGTGAGTGTCTCTGCCAAACTGTGTTTTGTACATATCAGCAGCTACCCCCTCATTTTGTATCCCATATTTCATGGCTGCAGTTTGGATTACTTTTCCCTTTAGTAAACGCGTAGAAAGGATTTCATGGTCTTTTCTTCTTGAGCATATATCTCTGAAATTTGAAGCTGTAAGCCTAAACTTCCTTAGTTCATGCCATGCTGTTGTAGTTGACTGTTCCCTTGTCTCCATTTCAAAGTCAATAGACTGTTGACCTGATATTGCAAGGGAGCTGAAGAAAAGGTCTTGTTTTTCATTGAGCACTGTATCTGGATAGCTTAAAGATGGAAAGTTGAATGCAGGTAGCTGTATGTTAATATTGCTCTTAACTTTCAATGGCTGTTGATAGCTTATGACACAGCCTTTTGGCACCTTTCCAAAGGCCGAGTCTACTAAAATTGGAGGCTCACTTTGTTCATCTTCCCATATTCTCATAAATCCAGGTTGATTGTTGAGATTTTCAAACTGTGGCGACAGCACACTAGTCAAGTCAAGGCTACTTAATGATTGCTGGAAGGGTTTGTAGATCGTGCTTGCCACACCACACACCTTTCTCTTCTTTTTAGGTTCATGCAATTTATCTTTTGGCTTTGACTTTTGTATAATCAAATCTGTCACTGGCCTTGCTTTAATGCCCTCTTTACGACTGGGGATATGCCATCTCTGCAAAAAAATAATATACAAATATACTATATGAATTCAAAATTGCTTATTGTGTTATGTTTAAAAACAGCAGTGTGATTAAAAGGAGTTTTTAAGGAAAAATATTGGTAAGATACAGTCAAATCTCTATACATTAATGACTGTTTTTTCTTATTGTTTATCATCAAATCTATTATTATTATTATTAAATTTTACCTGTGCCTTTGATGTTTTAGAAACCATTGGCGGGACACTTTTTAAGCCTAATAGCTGGAAATGGGCAAGAGTATAGAGCAATCCAAGAACATGATGGCAAAGACCTTGTCCAGCAGCACAACTACACATATACTTGTTGATGCTAGCCTCAATAGAGGAGCTCTCGAACACAACAGACAACTTGTGAGGATCTTCGTTCTTTTTCATACTTCTGAAGCATTTAGCCCGAGCCACTACTCCTGAATCCTCTTCCTTGCAAAGTTTTACTGTTAAAAACCGAGAAAAAAGAGTTAAAACTCAAAACACTGAGCACAGAAACAAAATATTGGAAAGACAGTCAAACAAAGAAAGCTACCACGAGGTCAACGAGGCTCACCTTCAATATCGTGAATATATTCTTCGTGAAAGAATTTATATCCTCTTGTTACAGTGGCTTTGATCGGTAGGTTCTTCTCAGCAAAATCCTCAACAAAAGAGTTTGTAACTTTGGGTATTTTTGTTATATTTTTGTGCCAAAATTCGAGTTCAACGCTATCGCTACTAGTCGCCATTTTGTTTGTGAACTTACCACGCGTGGCCTCGACCTCATGTACAATATTCAATGACGTAATCCAAGATGGCGGGCCGTGACAAAGGCGAATTACCTGTCGCGCGTTGATAGATACAGGAGCGGGGAGTTCATATGCATCTGCAAAGCTGTTGGATCTTCTAAAGAAAAAGCCAAGTGAAACGAAAACAAGACGTGTGGATATGCTAATCAGCTCGAAAGTAACCAAACTAGAAGTGTACGACACCGTCGTGGAATCCTTAGACGAAAATTATCAGATGCGTGTGAAGCTAACGAAGGTCAACAAAGCAGAGCTATTATCGATTGAAAATCCAAAGTACGGAACACTGGTACACAAGTACCCACATTTAAAGGGAGTCAAAATCACAGACCTTGACACGAAGGACCAACTTCCTATACACGTCGTACAGGACAGGATGGAGAGCCGGTGGCAGAGAAAACTAAACTGGGATGGTTTATTATGAGCCCGGGATCAGAATTTGACCACAACACGATGCTGCTGACCCAAACATCACAGAGTGACTATGAGGACTTATGCAGGCTTGACATACTGGGGCTTGCAGACACACCAGAGCATGACCAGAGCTTTGTGCACGCAGAATTCAAGGAACAACTTCAACGCTCACCGGAAGGATGGTATGAAACTGGACTACCATGGCGAGGAAATCATCCAGGACTACCAACAAACAAACAAGGAAGCTTACGACGCCTGTCAAGTTTGACCAGGAAACTGCAGCGCAGTAATCTGATCGGGGAATACGATGGCATAATAAGAGAGCAACTCCAGAACAACGTAGTTGAAGTCGCACCAGTAGAAGTCGTGGGGAAGGAATTTTACATTCCACACAAAGCAGTGATTAGAGAAACGGCTGAAACAACCAGTGAATCAAAGATGTTGGGACTCAAGTGGGACAAAGACCAAGACATCAGGAGACGTGCAAAGTATTTGCGAACCTGTAAGGACAAAATGTGGAGTCGATGGCAAAGAGAATACCTTACAGCACTAAGAGAAAGACACAACCTGACGCACACAGTGAGCAAGTTCCAACCAAAGAAAGGAGACGTCGTCATAGTGAAAACTGACAGCAAGAATCGTGGAACATGGCCGCTGGCCATAGTGAATGAAGTTTACCCTGGCAATGACGGCGTCATACGCGCAGTCCAACTTAAAACTGCCAAAAGCATGCTGGAACGACCAGTACAACATTTGTACCCATTGGAACTTGAGTGTGACTTCAGCACTCAAGTGGCAGATCCACGCTTAAACCCACAGGCTCAGGATTTCCGCCCTAGAAGAGACGCAGCAGCAGCAGCAAGGTTGCAAATGAAACAAGTTGCAGATGTTGAACAATGTGAACTGGAGGAAAGGGGGACATTCTCCAAAAAGTATCACCAAGAACTAAATAAAGTAAAAATAGAGGGGAGAGAGGTAAAGCATATTAAGCTGAGGAAGCATCCAGATAACAGCTTATGTCAGTGCAAAGCAAGTAAAGATGTTTCAGAGTTAGAGTACACATGAACTGATCGTTTCCTCAATAACCAAGGGAGGGAAGGATGATAATATTACAACCAAAAGAAGTAATGCAAAACGTAGAGAAATCACCTGGAGACACAGCTCTGACTATGAAAGAAGTCAAAACACTATGTTCCCTTTCAAAAGACATCATTATGTAAAACTTCTACAAGTATGGTAAAGACTATTACTAACACCTATCAGCTAACAAAAAATCTCAGCTTAGGCCTAGATAGGACAGATTTATGCACAACTGGTTGTTCCACATGAACCTAAACACTTGCACGAAATCGGGTCCAGGAAAAGGAATGTTTTGCTTCTTATGAAAGCATCACTAAATTTCAACGCCACACCCTGTGAACAGTTTAATAAGACGATCCAGCTACACAAAGATCCCATTGAGTCTGAAATACAGGGGCAAGTCTCTAAATTTCATTTTAAAAAAAAGTTCAGGAAAAGAAGCTCATGACGTCATGTTTAAGGCATATAGCGCAGCATACTGGCTTGTGTAAGAGAAAGTTTGAAATCAAAACTTCTCATTATTGGCTAATCTGCCAACATTGTTCAGTCTTCGTGAGATGAAGAATTTCAGGTCCTTCGCCCAACGTTCCCTTGAGGAAATATTTTTGGTACTGAGCAGCTCTCTTGACAACAACTTGTTAGGGATGATATAGAGTGAAAATTGCTTTAGTCTCCAAACGTGCTGTGGAGGATGACCATTCCCATTTGCAAACCCCCTGTGTTCAATGGAAACATTTTAGAATACCCAAGATGGGAAAACACCTTTGACACCCTGATAGAAGAGCAAGTTGTTCTTCCCCAACTACAAGCTTTATTATCTCGGTGAAGACATAAGTGGAGTAACACAAAAAATGATTAGTGGCCTGTTAGGACTGCGCATAGAAGACGCTTACACGAGAGCCAGGAAAACACTGAAGGTACATTTCGGAAACCCCTTTAAAATCTATGAAGCTTACAGAGATAAACTGAAAAACTGGTGTTCGTAACCAGCGCATAGCTTCAAGACTTTAGTGATTTTCTTGTCATGACGCAAGAAACCATGATTCAACAGCTCACTGCCCATTTGCCCACCTACTACAGTAACAAGCGGAGGGAAAACGCAAAGAAAACTAAAGTGAGGTGTGGCCAGTACTCCTTTGAAAATTTCGTTGAGTTTATACAAGAAGCATCCCTCGATGCCAATCATCCTGTGTTCTCTCGTGACGCTCTAAACTCAACAAGTAGAGAGCTGGAAAAGAAAGAAGCTCCCCTGCCGAAAAAGCCAAGTAGAACTCCGATAGAGGAGATAAGAGAAGATGGCACAGCACCACCTATTCTACCATAGCTAACGAATTCCCTCCCAAAGCCCCCATGGATATGAGTTTGTGTATGTCATGCAAGGGCCGACACAGTCTCGCCACATGCAAGGCCTTTTTGGAGAAGCCATTTAAAGAAAGACAAGACCTCTACATGACAAGGGGAATATGCTTCTCTTGCCTTAATCCAGGCCAAATGTACGGTGGCCAAAAAGGGTCAATTTGCCAAAACACAAAACAATGTCTCAAAGCACAAACCAATTTGCAGAAACACAAATCAGTTTCCCAAAACACAAAACATTTTCTCAAAAACATAAACCAATTTCTCAAAGCAAAAATCAATTTACCAAAACACAAATCAGTTTACCAAAACACAAACCAATTTTCCTGAAACGCAAACCAAAAGACTGGGCACTTACGCCGTGATTATCAGAGAGAGCCTCAATTTTTCCGCGTCAAACATGGCAACTGTTTTAACATGTGACTAAGCCAAACTCATCGTGCTTTTCGGTATTAAATTTTCGATAACATGTTTTGCAGCCATTCTGGTAGCGAGGTAAAATCCTGTTTTAAATTCTGCATAAAATGTGGTAATCCTACATCCCAGAACTCTGATGATGGTTCTTCTAGATGCGAAATGATGAAAACTCATAGCAGCAGAACTGGATACTTGGGGGCTGATCTAGGCACATCTGATGCTGTATCTTTCAGAGAACCTGTTCCAAAGTTGGACACCTTCATGAAGAAGAAAAAAGATGAGCGGTGTCTCATGTTAAGAGGAAGAACAAGAAGTTAAAGAATGAAAAGGACAAACCAGTGACAATAAACATAGGAATAGTGCGTTACGTGGAGGAGGAAAGTATGCTAAAGCCTCAGCGAGGGAAAAGTCTTCCCATAAGGCTTCCTAAAACAGCAGATAGTGAGGAGGTACTGAAGTTAGCTGTGGCTAAGCAATCGCTACATAACGGAAATAAAATTGTCTAAAGTTAAACGACTGGAAGAATCTGATGAGGCATTTAGTTTACAAGGATACAAAGCTGAACTGGGAAAACCTTATAACAGGTTAACATTGTGTCTTTGTAGTTCTTCAGATTACCTTGATTATGCCTTAAAAGGCCTTGTTGATGTCATTTCTAATGGTAGTGACAGTGAGGGTGATAGTGAAAAGGATTTTGAAGAACTGGGTGAACCCATACAAAGTAAAATTACAAAGTACACCCATACCAGCTCTTTGGCTTCAAATACTAAAACTACACCCAGTGATTTGTCAGGTCCTCTCCCCATCACCACCTCATCTGTGTCAGGTAGTACTACTGTACATAAATGTGATGCTAATGTTAGTGGTGTCATAAGTAGCAACAATCTTAGCCGTCCTCATTGTAGTGCCAGTATTTGATCCAGTTTTGCTGCAGAATATCAAAATCAAAACTCTGGATTTGAGACACTGAAAGAAATGTTTCCACAACTACCTGACAGGAAGATATTTGAAGTATTCAGTGACAATCAAGAAATAGAAACTGCAATTGCCAAACTCTGTGAAGATGCAAATGCAGTCTCTTGTTATCCTCTTCAATCATATGTATCTGTTATTAATGAGACTGACAGTGATAATGTCTACGACTTTGAAAATGACATATCCTTAGGCAATGATGGATGTGGATCTCTAAAAATTGATAAAAGTGAAAAGTACATGATGGAGAACCAGGAAGACCTCTGTACAAAACTGAGTGAACTATTCCAGAAAAGCAGCACCTCAGGGAACAAGATTAGGCTGAAAGTGAGAAGTAGTTGCCTGTAGGAAGATACTTTGGTGAAAATGAAGAGAGTAAACCCTGACTGTTTAAATGGAATTGTAACTGTCCAGTTCATTGGAGAACCTGCAGTGGATGAGGAAGGACCATAAAAACTTATTCTGCCTGATGCACAAGCATATGCAGTAGTCATCAAGTCTGTTCACAAGGCCTCCTGCCAGCCATAGATTTGTCCACAATACGATTGCTCTACAGAGGGAGGAGTATCTCCATTATGACGTTATTTCAGCACTATCAGTAGATCAAGGATCACCTGGCCCTGCAATGTTTGGTGCCCCTGTCGTAGACTGCATACTATATGGTAAATTAGATGCAATGAAAGTATCAGTTTGTGACCTCCTAAGTGGGAAAGTTAAAACAACTTTAGAAGAGCTGGAGGCCATCAGCGGCCCAGTAAAGTTCAAGCAAGAAGTTTCTTCTAATACACCTTTAAGGTTCAAAGCAGGATATACAAAGCCTGTTGTGGCTTTTGAAGACAAGCAAAAATTTATCAGATGCATCTGCCTTCACTAGCTCATTTTATCAACCCAGTCTGAAATTGATCAGTTTATTAAAGGACTGATGACAAATGGCATCTTGAATGTGATTAGAAACAATCCAGACAAAGCTCGCAAGTTACTGCAGCATGATAATAACGAGAGGCTAACAGCTCAGGTTGTAGACAACCAGTTTCATTGCATTTTTTCTGATAAAGGGGGCAACAAACATAGAAGTGAAGAAGCTACAGCCTTCAACTTCTCACATTACCTGGAAGATGTTGAACAATGCTTAGTGACCTCAAATGTCCTAGATCCTGACACAGAAGAGATTCACATCAGTGAAGTGGAACTTGCACCTGTTTTGCAGTTTGTAACAGGATGTGATGGAATACCTGCTATTGGATTTGACACAAGTATAACTACCATGTTTGATCACGATAAGCCCCATAGGAAACTAACAGCAAACACCTGCTCCTGCACCCTTAACTTTCCAGTTTGTGATTTGCTCACCAATTATGAGTCATTCAAGAATGAGTTCACAGAATGCATGATCAGCTCACCTGGGGTCAGTTCAATAAAGAAATTACACTTGTAGATTCTACAGTTGTAAAAAACGCATGTAAAGTCCGACTTGTAAATACAAGAATTCAATAAAAAAAATTCAAACACTGGAATTTACACGTGCACAAGCAGTCTTACTACAAGTGTTAATTACAATTGTAACTGTACAATTGTAAATAGCACTGAGTGGATATGTAAACTACAAGTGCAAATTATTTCAGCTCAGTGTGGAAAATTTATTTCGTAGACTGCGTCGATTTTTTCCCTGTCGTTTCAGCATGTTGTCGAAATCCCAGAAATTGCTATTAGCGCAGCTTGTGAGGGATAACAAATCAGTTGTTTTGGCTCCATTTTCCTCGACTGTAACGAAAAAGGCAAAACAGGAGGCGTGGGAAAGCATCTTAAGACAACTGAATGGTGTTGGAGCGAACGTCGACAACATAAAAACCCTGAAAGATGTTATCTGGGCAAACATTCGCCACGGTACGATAAAAAAAGTCAGTGACTCGAAAAAGACCGGTGCAGGAGGGAGTGAACTCACAGAGCTGGACGATACAGTCCTTGATATACTTGGAAAAGAGAGCGTAAACTTGGAGCCTGTTAAGGTTGAAGACACACCAATTGTGTTTGAGAGTGAAGAGGTTGTCTGCACTACACCTGAGACCGAAGGTGAGATAATTTAGAATAACCAGAAACAACATTTATAAATCAAAATGTCCTTCTTTCGTTTCTCTGCGAGCAAGTTGTCAATTTGAAGCTAGGTCAGGCGCGATTATTGCGTTCCCAAATGAAAATGTTTCTTTCTTACTTTAATCGCAACTTAGCTTTGTTCAAACGCGATGAGTTTGAAGATGAGATTTTCATGTATCTACCAATCTTTTGTTCATTTAGATGCAAAAGCAAAGCATGAAACAAAACCTTCAGCCAAACCAAAGGAAGCCAAAGACAAGACATCAGTATTCCAAAAGCCTACCATCAAATCGAAGAAGGGGCTGAAAAAGGACACTGTCAGTTCCACAGAAGAATTAGAAGAAGACATATTACGAATTAGGAAAAGAAAACTACTTTTTAGAGTGTTCAAAGTTGTCCTTGGAGATTAAAATTTTGAAGAAAGATTTCGAGGCGATGGATTAATAGAAATAATTTGACTGTTAAGTTTGAGAATTGCATAAGTGCAATCAAGAGAATGAAAGCTAATAATGTCAATAATTTACAGAATTGTATCACTTTGTTACAAAGTAATCACGCCGTTAATAAAAACAATTAGTCTTAGAAGGTTGGTGGTTTGCAATCATTTGTTTAATTATTAGAGGGAGGGCAACGGACAAGAGGATATCAATAATTATTGAAATGACTTCAATGACATAGCTCATACCACGGTTTAATGAATTCAATGACAGCTTCTGTTCTTTTTCAATTTCATATTTGGGCTAGGAAATCGTCCTAAGCATATCATTATAGTTTTATAAATACAATATCTGCAAATAATGAAGATCGAATAAGAAATGTAAACTAAATGTTTTTAAGGCCCTTAACAATTTGATTTCACATCAAGAAAATGCGCCAAGAGCTCTTGTCGTCTGTCCTCCTGCCCTTCGTCTTGCTCGGCAGACTCCCCTTCATCAATTTCCAGATCTTCGTCATCCGAAAGATCAGCACCATCATCATTAAATAGTATGCAAATGTTGTGTAGTATGGCTGCTGCACACTGGATAAGTTCAGCAGCTCGTTCCATACTTCTGACTCTTAAGCCTGTTTGTAGAGTGTAGAATCTTTTTTTTATAACACCATTGGCTCTCTCTATGGTGCTTCTGGTTTTCTTGTGCGCCTAATTAAACCTGAGGCGAGCACCTCCTACATCTCCCCTGAAAGGAGGAATCAGCCAGCTGTTGCACGAGTAGGCAGAGTCGCCTAGAATTACTGCTCCAGTGAATGGCCTCTGAGCATTTTCTTCAAATGCAGTCCACAGAGTACTCTCTTTGAGAACCCGCGAGTCATGCCATCTCCCAGGACATCGGCTGCTACAGAAATATATTGAGTAATCTGGGCCACAAACCATGGCCACATTGAGGGATTTCGTATGATGCCGATTCACGTATGCATCTTCATCACCAGCCGGGGGATTTACCAGAACATGGGTTCCATCCACGCAACCAGCAACACAAGGAAACCCAGCTATATCATGAAACTTTGAAGCGATTCGAAGGGGCTGCTTGGGCCAACAAACAAGTTCTCGCTGTAAACTTAGTATTGCCGGCGTAACGCGGTCTATGACATTCCAAACTGTTGATGTTGAAATTCCATGGCACGAATGCATCACATGGTAAAACGAGTTCGTACCAAGGAAGTGGAGAAATACTAACAATTGTTGTCTCACCGTCAACGCTCTGTTGCGCCGTGTTCTGTGTTCCAATTGCAGACCCACTGCTGCCAGTAAATGTTCGAATGCATTGACTGGGAGACGAAACTTCTGTCAAAATTCGCGTGGATTTTCTACGTCTAAAAGCCGTCTTTCCTCAAAATTCCTCGGCTGTCGTCTTATTCTATTTCTCAAAAGTTCATCTATTTCTTCTTCACTCGAAGATGACATGCTATCTCTTTAAATGAGGCCAACAACAATTTGCAACTGACCTAATTTCACATTCTACACGTGTGAATAATGCTAGGCTGTTACACATAGTTAAAGTTGCTTGTAAAACATCCTTATAATATTGTGTTTGCTAAATAAAAAGTTCTTATTTAGATAGAAAAAATACTGACTGTTGAGTTCTGTTGTTTCAATACAAATTAGCAATTTTATGCTTAAAATAGTATACATTGTGTTCTAACTAAATGATGACATTCTGGCCCTTTATTTATCAAATGAATGTATAATGCATGTTGTCATTGATGTTATTGATGTTAGGTATAATTGTGACAAATGCTTAAATAAAATTTTCATATTTTGCTAGTAATGAAAAGTGCATCAACTAATTTTTCCTTCTGTTTCAATGACCAGAATCTCATGTTTATTTTAAATTTATCTCCAATAGCAAAACTATAAAAGAATATGTTTTTAGACGTCATGCTTGTTAGGGAGCTTTTTTTTTTAACCACTTTTGAGAAGTGGGCAGCAGGCAATTGCAGAGGGGGTCTTCACAAATTTTGACTGTCGAGAAAGGAGGCTTAAAACAGAAAGGAGGGCAAGGGGATAAAAAGTGCATGTAAATGGTATTTCTATGGTTACTGGGAACTGTGTCCTATTTCTTTTCATTTACATTTATGCTCTTGGTTGTGGACTTCAATATTTAGGTTTACAAAGCAATTGTTATTAAATAAGAGAACAGATTTAAAGCTTCTCTCCAGTTGGGGGCTTCGAAATATTACACAGAGACAAAAAAATGATTAAAGTACTCCTGAAAGTCATTCTTTGAATCAGTTGTTTTATATTTCATTCTGGCTTCATCAAGCTTTTCAGGAGACACTGGTTGCAAGAGATCTGAGGCACCAAAGTTTTCTGGGAGAAAATATAGTTCATCTGGTTTTCTGGGAGCTGTATCAAGCCTTGCTGGCCAATATAGTGTGTATTCCTGTGAATCTTCACAAAGTCTAGATCTTGCTGAATTAACTCTGCAAAGCAGAACCATAAGCATTCCTGATGAAGTGTATTGCCAGGTAAAAATACTCCACGGTCCATAAGGTCCTTGAAAAAGGTAATCCACCAGGTGAGACAGCTACGGCGGTAGTAGGACCACCAAGCCTCTATCCATTGGTTTCCAGTTGAAGGACCATAACGGTGTGTGATTTTTCACCAGCTAAATCATCATCACACTCTGCTCTTAGAAAGCTCTGTACACCTGCAATTACTACATTCTCAGTTCCACAATCTGTTCTCAGTAACGAAGGCCAGCCCCCAACCTCCTCAACACAGTCTACAAAATATTTGGCCATGACACAGACAAAACCATCAACTTACTATGCAACAAGGAGTACAAGGAGGACTATGTAGCATTCATCAAAAAAAATGTTAGAGGATGGACATGCAGAGAAGGCCCTGAACCAATGAGAAACAGCATGGTACATTCCTCATCACATCATGTATCACCCTAAGAAGCCCAGAAAGCTACAAGTAGTCTTTGATTGCACAGCAGAGTTCCAGGGCCACTCCCTTAATTGCAACCTTTTACAAGGACCCGCTTTGATGAACTCCTTGGTTGGTGTCTTGTGTCGCTTCAGACAAGAACCTGTAGCATTTGCCTGCAACGTAGAGGGAATGTTCCACCAAGTCCACATCAATGAGGAACACCGCGACTTCCTCTGTTTTCTCTGGTGGGGCCAAGGAGACACCACAAAAGAACCGAAGGAATACAGAATGACTGTACACTTATTTGGTGCCACTTCCTCCCCTGGCTGCACAAATTTAGCTCTACAAACTGCTGCTAATGACGGCGGAAATGACCTAGGAGAGGAAGCAGCTTCATTCGTAAAGACAAATTCTTATGTTGACGACGGACTTAAGTCAATCCCCACGGTGCAAGAAGCAATTAAACTTATCAAGAACAGCACTGAACTGTGAATGAGAGGCAGTTTCAGACTCCACAAATTCACCTCCAATAGCAGAGAAGGCGTGGAGCTTGTACCCATAGCATCACAGGTACAGACTCTATGATCTACTTCCCCCCAAACGCATACTTGGCGTAGAATGGAACATTGAAAACAACACATTCAACTTCCGCATCACCCTCAAGGACAAACCACTCATCAGGCGTGGTATTCTGTCGACAGTGAGCTCCATATAATACCCACTAGGCCTCACCACTCCATTTCTGCTAAGAGAGAAAATAATACTTCAACTTCTCTGCAAGGAAAGTGTAGGCTGGGACGACTCATACATCAATGCACTTTGTCGCTTCATATGCAGCCGTGGCCCAGTGCACCAGATGTGCAGTGACAACGGGTCTAACTTCATTGGGAGCGCAAAATCTGAACCACGAGAAGTGTGCTCTCTGCTTTACTGGAAAAGAATGGGCAGCAAGTGAATTATGAAGCCTTACAAACTTTCATGTGTGAAGCAGAGGCCATAGTTAACAGTCGACCGTAAACAGCAGAAAGCATGTCGTCACCAGGCTCCACAGAAGCAATTACACCAAATCACTTCCTTAAATTGAAGACAAAGGTTGTTCTGTCTCCACCAGGAGTATTCAAGTCTGCTGACCTGTATGCAAGGAAATGGTGGCGACAGGTACAGCACCTTACTAATGAATTCTGCTGTAGATGGAAGAGAGAATTTTCCTCTCTCTCTACAGGAAAGACAAAAGTGGACCCGCACAAGGAAAAACCTTCAAGTGAATGATGTTGTCATCATCAAGGATGATGACACACCTTGAAACCAGTGGAAAGTCTGCCATGTTATCAAAGCCCTGACAGACAAAGATGGTTTGGTAAGTAAGGTTAAGCTGGAAGTAGGTAGCTGGTACTTACCATTCAACAGAAAAAAATCAGACATTGTCAACTCTGGAAAGACCAATCCTCAAGCTGGTGTTACTATCGTCGACACAAGATGACTAAAGACCAAGGAATCCCCGTCAAGGAGCCATCATGGGATAAACACATCAAGACTTAGCATAGACCTATCATTGACTCATGAACTATGAATAAGCTGAGCATTAATTTCTAATAATTTGCATGTATAGATTGGAGTAAATTAAGCTACTAATTTAGGGGAGCCATGTAACTGTTTCCGTTGAAGCTAAGTGTTCCTGCTTCTGAAAAAAGCTGCGAAATATTTTTTGGTTGAGTTGACACCCCCGTGATTAGTTCCTTTTAAACAGAAAATTATAGTTAGCGTTTCAGTTCAAGATGAGACCCTGTGTGATCAAGATCGTTTTTGAATAGAAGACAAGTTAGACTGTAATCCTTGATAAAGTAATCAAGACCCAAGAACGTTGGTAAGAAATAACTTGTTTTGTGATTATGTTATCTCGCTGGTAGTCGTTACTCAAAGTAAAATTTATCGCTTGTTATTTACCTTTCCTTTAGTTCTTTTAATTGCCACGTGCTCATTTCCAAAATCGAGATTATTCTTAAGCTATGATCACAATACTTAGGTGATTTCTTTACGTAATAATTTTGGTTGACCACTTCGATATAATAACACTAGAAGGAATAGGAAAAGGAATAAAGAAAGAGGAGATCCTATTTCGTTTGGTGTTTCTCGTATTAACCCGGGAATGGAATTTCCAACTCTAGCTTGAAAAGAAACATTTCCACTAAGAATAGCTCACTATTCAGTAGTTATATGTTTGGATAAGAGATTTAGTATTTTATTAAGTGTCACAATTATCACTGTTCTGTCATGCAATACTTTGAATTTGTCTTGTTTGTTAAATTTAGTGCACTGCCATGACAATCTATCGTACTTTTACCAGTTGTTTTATTTTCATTATTTTAATTATTTTATTGTAAATTATTTGTTAGTGATTTGCTGTTTGTTATTTATTTCTTTTAGCTTGCAATCACCCTTTTCTTTTTTGTACTTTCCTGTACAAATACATTTATTTGTGGCTACAAGCCTGTCTCGTTGTTCAAATAACAATATCAGAACCTGCCTTGGTTACAGGTTTATACATTTATCAAGAGAGGCTTATGCTGCTGATTTTAAAACATGCACAAACAACCACAATTACTAATTTAACATATCAGACAACAGAACAATTAAGGAAAGTACCAAAATGTACCACTACACAGTCTAGCAAGTTTAAAATATACATACCCTCAACATCATGAATGCATCCTGACTAAAGTATCTGTGCAACTCTAATTGCCCCATGATGCAGTCTGTTACATAGCAGTCTTCAGACTTGTGGCTGGGCTTGGTGGATGTACCTATTCACCATCCAGTTTGATCACATTTGATCATTCAAAATTTTTTCCACAATAGAAAAGAGAAAGCAAAACAGAAAGCTAACAAACACCAGGTTTCTTAGAATAAGGAAGGCCATATGAACTACCACCACAAGCCCAACCTGTTAAAAGAAATATTTCTTTTTGGTTAAGGAAACTTCCAGGATGACTTGTGGAGCAGCCATCGCTCCAATGCCCAAGTCTAGTGGAGTACTTTGTGAAAGCCATGAAGTATTGGGGAATGCTGTCAATCACATTGTTCCTCTCCACCAACCAAAGAAGAACAGATTTGACATTATCCCTTTAGAAGACATTGTCCCTTTAGAAGACATTATAGATGTGTGTCTGTACATTAAATTTTCAGATAGTGAGGTGGGATATGCTGCGCATTTTCCTAACCATTTTGAAAAGGACTGAACATTGACATGTATACAC